ACCCTCTCTATAACGACCACTAAGTAAAATTTCTCTATAACAAACTTCCCTTTTGTCCCCGTTTCAATTTTTTATAATTAATTTCTCTCTCTATAACGACCATCTTAACAAACTCTCGCTATAACGACCAAAAGCAGAGAAATTACATATAGGGACAGAGGGTTCGTTATAGAGAGAGTGAACTGTAATAAAAATTTTAGGGTTAGCTTAAGGGTAGAGTCACTGATGTGTGATATACCTAGCACTAAGAGTTTATAACTTTTTTGGCCGAGTGAATCATAATCATGAAATATCAAAATTATTGCATTGTTTATTTTTTAATTCATTGCTAAACTTCAGAATTTGTTATAGGTTTGAAATTCTATCATCATGGAAAAATTCTATTGTGGAACTTAATACTTTGTATTATCAGTATTAATGGTGTATAATATAGATAAGCAAAATTTTTATAGATATTCCAGTGTTTGAGGGTGTAAGAGGAAGCATAATACTTTTATTATCATATATCTTGCAATAGTGATAGAAACAAACAATTAATTAACTTTAGAAATTATTCAAGAACTTGATCTGGGATTCGCATTAAAATGGCCTTGCTTTTTGATTTGCTATAAAACATTATATTATTTGTTATGTTACATGTGGATGTGTTCATTGAAAAAATAAAATACATGTAATAATTATGCTATTAACTAGCAATTATTTTTATTCAGATATGCTACATATGTGGTTATACATTTTAAAATACACTATTGGAAGGTTTCAGCCTTCATATCTGATACTATTGATTTGTTCAAATATTTGACTATAAAATTGTGGTCGTGATACAAGTGATGGAGTGTAAATTTTTTTCAAATGTTCTCTATCAACAATAATTATATTTTTATTATTTAATACTTCATGACTGAGCATTCCTAAGTCTAAGTGTCTCCAAACCACAAAAACCAGATAAATATCATTTTCGGTCATTTTGAGTTTTCCCACACAAGATTTATCATAAAATGATCCATTTTCCCATGCATTAGTTTCACTTCTAAGTCTATTGCATAAATATCTTACATGCATAAGGTATTTCCTTTTCATATTTTCATATTTATTCAATATCTCCTTACTTCCTAATGTTGTCTGATGGTCTCGATAAGTAAATCTGCATTCAATATTGATTGTGATATAGCCAGATTCGTCTGCTTTTCTTTCAAATATAACCATGTCAAACTCATTATTATTTGATTTTTTGGGAACAAATAAATAATCATTAAGATTCTCAAAAACTTTTCTGGATGAATTGTATATTGTATCATTTGGAGGAAATTCTATTTCTTCATGACAGTATGCAATTCTCTTTCTTTGTAACTGTATCTCAATTTCTTCTTTGTCTCTGTCAGATAAACCATAAATCTCATGAAGACTTATCTTCTTTCCATTTTCACGAAGCACACGGTATAGTAATTCCCAGTTTGCATGGAATCTTTCAAAGGGCCTTCCATCCATCACTTCGTCATCAAAAGAAGATTCTGTTGTAAGTAGGCTTTGTATTATTTTAGTGGCAATTTTCGCATCACCATCATCTTCATTGTTTAAACAAAAATATTGTAGGCTAACTGGTGATAAGGTGGGAATAACAAACTGAGCTTCACTTTTTTCAGTAAGTGAATTAATGTAATCTCCAGAAGAAACAAGGGCTGAAATGCTTAATTGTTCACCATTAGTATTTATAACATGGCTCAATCTTACTGATTCACCAAGTAAAGCCATTTTAACTACAGGAAAGGATATATTCTTATACCACTCTCTAATATGGTTTGTCAAGATTGCAATAAGAGAACTGTAATTGTGAATTATCTGAGCTTCTTTGTTGCTACTAAAAACTTGATAGAATTTTTCTAGGGTCCT